AAGTGATTTGGCAATCTTTATCAGAAGTCTGAAAAGTTTCATACTATTTGACCAAGCAATTCCAGGCCTAAGATATATTCTAGAGAAGTAAACAGAAATATATTGATATTTTATTATGTTGTTAAAGGTATTTTGAAGCAGGACTTTTCACCAATAACCAGCGATATCAGTAGGGGATGTATTCAGAGGTGGTTAAAAAGTTTTGAAACTAGAGAGAGGTGTTATTTGCACAGCATGGTGATTGCACTAAATGACACAGAATTTCTCACTTTAAAATGGTTAATTGTTCTCAGCAGCAGACTGAAGTTAACCTAAAACTACTGCCTGACCTGGATTTGCCAGGGCCTGGATTTACCTTTGCTCAAGGTAGCACAGGCAGTTTGGCCTTTGGCGGGAGCTGGAGGCCAGGTCTCCCTGGACACTCACCCTATAGTCTACGAATAACATGTTCTATGTATAAGAACATCTGTTATAGCAGTATTTATACAGAAAATTTTGATACAAATTAAGTGTTCCAAAGAAGGTGAATACTTTCACAAAGTATGGTGAAACTGAAATACAAAAAGTGAATAACTAAATGGTAACTTCAAAATACCTTTAACGACATAAGAAAATATCAATAATTAAATGCAATGTACTAAAAATATTGGCCATAGTTTTTTTTTTTTTAAATGGAAAATATGTGTTGGCAAGGATGTGAAGAAATTGGAACCTTAATACATTCCTAGTGGGAATCTGAAATGGTGCTGCTACTGTGGAAAACAGTTTTGCCATTACTCAAAAGCCTTATATAATCATCATATGACCGGTAATTCCCTTTCTAGGTATATATACCCAAGAGAAATTAAAACATATGTCCACACAGAAACTTGTTCACAATATTTATAGCATCATTTCTCATAATAACCAAAAGGTGGAGACAGCCAGATGTCTACAAGTAAATGAATGTATAAACTAATAGTAGTACATCCATAACCATGTAATATTATTCAGTCATAAGAAGGAAGGAAGTGCTGATAAGTGCTACAACTTGGATCAATCCAAAAATAAGTGAAAGAAGTCAGACAAAAATGGTCACATATTTTATGATTTCTTTTATTCAGAATCTCTGGAATACGCAAATCCATAGAGACAAGAAGCCCATTAGTAGTTGCCAGGGGATGAGGGGAAGTGATGGTGGGGAGTGATTACTTAAAGGGTAGTGAAGCCAGAATTAGACAGGCAGTCAGTGTAGATAGGTAAATCCAGTCAGGTCGGATCAAGGAGGTCAATTTTGAGCGAGCCCAGCAGGTTGGAGATTGTC